GCTGTCGGGCCGAGCGCGCCAGGCCCGGGGGTCTCAGCCCTGGGAAGGGCCCATGTTCAGACTTGGTTTCAGTAGCACCTAGAAATTTGTTCACTGAAGTCTTATTCTGAGCGGCCAGAATTCCCAACCGGATGCCCTGAGAGCGATGTGGAGCCTGAGTCGATGCTGGGACCCCTATTGGGAGGGGTCGCCACGGGCGCGTGACTGGCAGGGGCCACCCTCTGACCTCTTCTGGGAGGCCAGGGGCCTTGTGCAGAAGCGTCCACGGGCCTGTCCCACGGGCCTGTCCCGCTGTGGCCTCCGGGATGTCAAGGGCAGGCAGGGAGGGGCTTCCTCCCCGGACCTCGGTGCGGTCGCACAGGCCGTCGTCTGCGGGGCTCTTGCAGGAGGGTGGGTGTGTGCGCGCATCCTCCAAACGCCACCCCCACGGGGCCCCACAGCCGCCCTGGCCTGGCAACTGTCACCCATTTTACGAATGAGGACATCAAGGCAGGTCACTCGTCGAGCCTCCCAGAGCGAGTGACCGGTGGCGTCTGGACTCGGGCCGAGGGTGTCGTATCCATCCCGCACAAAGCCGGGGCTCGATGCGACCCCAGAGTCGCTGAAAAGCCTTGAGTAACAAGAACTGGAGAACAACATAGGATGCTGATCGGGCGGACACTGCCGCCTGGGGAGGGGCTTCGACGTGGCGGACACCGCTGCCTGGGGAGCGGCTTTCATTTTTGTTTTCTTACGTATCTGTATTTTCTAAAATGAACAGATATGAGTTTTACCACAGGAGAAAGGTTCTTATAAAAATTCAGATTTCTTAGAGAAATGCTGTCAGCTCACAGCCTGGTGGGGTTGGGAGGCCCACAGATGGCCCTAGCCGACCCCTCTGTCCTGTGTGGGACCTGCCTGTGAGCAGCACCCAGGAGTCTGTCGAGGCCCCACCCGTGGTCCCCAGCTGAGCCCCTGACTGCAGTGGTAGGGTCCCCCCCTGTCCCCCAATTGCCTATAAGGCGTCTTTGACCCGTGTCCCAGGTGGAGAAGAACGCTGCCATCAGGAGGCCGGGGACACCTGAGTCTTGCCTCACAGGGCCATTTCTGTGGGGAGTTTGGTCCAGTCCCAAGGAGGCTCCATCTGGTGAGGTGAGTTCATGAGTATTTTGTAAAATGGGACAACCTATTGCGATAGCATCCGTCCTCCTGTATTTAGGCTACATAGGGCAAGAACTGAGACACACTTCCTTGCCACCCCCTCGCATCTCCACCAGTAGGGCCAGGAAGTTCAGATATGCTCAGGTGACCACCTGAACACCATGAGGCTTTTCCCTGAAGTAGTATCAGCAACCAGTTCTCAAACTACTTTATCTTGATCCTTGTGCCAAATTATTTATTTCCCGCAACTGTGAGGCCTCCTCCTTCATGTGGCCTGGTGTTCCCAGGAGCAGGCCTTGTGATCGGAGGGAGACGGCTTGTTGCTCAACAGGGTCTTCCCACCTCGTTCACCCGTGCTGGGTGCTGAGACGCCAGGGGAGGGGGAGGCAGCTGTGGTTCTAGCCATCGTCATTTGCAATGCAGTTGGAGAGATGTGACTGGGTGGCCCTGACCAGTGTTAAGTGGTTAATATGACACAGAAGCGGGAAAGCACCATGTGGTCTGGGGTGATCAGGCATTGAACGAGACTCAGCGGAGCTCCTTGAGGAGAGTCGCCTCACAGACAGGCAGGAATGAATAGGCCGATCTGGCAGGGGCTGATGACTTGGGTAGCAAAGACTTGGAAGCCCTGAAACATCTTGCCCAGCTCGTTCTTTCTCTCTCTCCCTCTCTCTCTTTCTTTTCTTTCTCCCTCCCTCCCTCCCCCACCTTTCTTTCTTTCTTTTCTTTCCCTCTTTCTTCCTTTCTTTTTTTTTTGAGACACAGTCTTGTTCTGTCACCCAGGCTGGAGTGCAATGGTGCCTTCTTGGCTCACTGCAACCTCTGCCTCCCGGGTTCAAGCAATTCTCCTGCCTCAGTCTCCCAAGTAGCTGGGACTACAGGTGTGTGCCACCGCATCCGATTAATTTTTGTATTTTTAGTAGAGACAGGTTTCACTATGTTGGCCAGGCTGGTCTTGAACTCCTGACGTCGTGATCTCCCAGCTTTGGCCTCCCAAAGTGCTGGGATTACAGGCGTGAGTCACCGTGCTCAGCCGCCTAGCTGTTTCAATGCAGTGAATTATAGCCAAAGGTGCTTCTGCTTGGAAATTGTTTTTTTAAATAAAAATATATTCATTTATATATAAAAAAAACTGAGGCACAAACAAAAACCTGAAACTGGGCCGGGGGTGGTGGCTCACACCTGTAATCCCAGCACCTTGGGAGGCTGAGGTGGGCGGATCACCTGAGGTCGGGAGTTCAAGACCAGCCTGACCAACATGGAGAAACCCTGTCTCTACTAAAAAAAATACAAAAATTAGCCGCGTGTGGTGGTGCATGCCTGTAATCCCAGCTACTTGGGAGGCTGAGGCAGGAGAATTGCATGAACCTGGGAGGCGGAGGTTGAGGTAAGCCAAAGTTGCACCATTGCACTCCAGCCTGGGCAACAAAAGTGAAACTCTGTCTCAAAAAAAAAACAAAAAACAAAAACGAAATTGGTTATTCGGGGGTCACTGGCTGTGGGGAGGAGGCAGGCAGGCCGGCTCCTTGGATTTCCTCTGGGCCCCTCCCCTACACCACCCACAGGGAATATTTATCAGCTCCTGGTGATTTTTACCAGAACTCTTGATTTTAGGGCCTTTCCAGCACTGAGCTGGAGACACCCAGGAGAACGTGGCTTTGCCCGGGCGTTGCAGAGCGAGTAGTCACTGGTGTGTGAGGCTGAGGAGGGCAACGAGGCTTCCATCTCAATTCTGGCTACTCGGAAGGGAGTTCGGGATGTTGGGGACAAGAAGGATCTGCACTAGCCCCACCTCCAACAACATCCCCTGCCCCCCTTCATCTTCCCAGCTGTCCTGCCACCCCCCGACCCGCTCCTGCCCTGTGGCTCTGCACTCATTTGGGGACGAGGGTTAGTTAGGCTGGTGGTGCCAGGGTTCAGGGTCTTCTGGGGCTGGTGTAGGTCACCCTATCCCCTTCACCTTCCTTGACCTCAAGGGGTGGTCGAGTGGGTTTGCTCTATGCCCAGCCCACCTTGGGGTGCTGGGAACCGTCCCTGGTCTATTCTCCCCACCAGGCTGGGGCCAGGCTTGGGTGCGGCTTGGGAGTTTCCTGTTTGAGTCGAAAGGCCTTGCAGTTCTGATGGGATGGCCTTGCATGCTGGCCTCCAGCCACCAAGTGCCCAACCTGGTTTCTCGGAGAAGTGCACTGGGCCAGACACGCGGCCATGACGGAGGGGAGGCTGGGCATCCCACACCACCTCGAGGGGAGGGTCGGACCCTTCCGAAGCATCCGTCCCACCCGCCCACACCGCCTCCACCCACCCACGGGCATCTGTCCCTGCTCCAATCTGCCATTTGCTTTCTTTCTTAACATTCCAGAGATTTTACTTATATTTATTTGTAAATTTGTGTTCTATGTGTTACGTGGTGTTTTTTGTTTCTTTTTTTTTTTTTTTCCTTTTCTTCTTTTTTTTTTTTTTTTTTTCTTGAGATGGAGTCTAGCTCTTGTTGCCCAGGCTGGAGCTCAGTGGCGCGATCTTGGCTTACTGCTACCTCCGCTTCCTGGGTTCAAGCGATTCTCCTGCCTCAGCCTCCCGAGTAGCTGGGATTACAGGCACCCACCACCACGCCCGGCTAATTTTTGTATTTTTAGTAGAGATGGGGTTTCACCATGTTGGTCAGGCTGGTCTGGAATTCCTGACCTCAGGTGATTCCCCGCCTCAGCCTCCCTAAGTGCTGGGATTACAGGGGTGAGCCACCGCGCCCGGCCTCTATGTGTTTTCTTGTTGAGGTAAAATGCGTATAACATCAAATTAACCGTTTAAAAGTGAACAGTTCAGGGGCATTTAGTACATTGACAAAGTTGTGTAGCCACCACCTCTCTCTAGCTCCAAAACATCTTCATCACCTCTGGCAGTGCCCACCCACCGAGCAGTCATTCCCCAGTCCCCGCTCCTGGGTCCTGGCTGCCATGAACCTTTAAATCTGAGTTTGCCTACTCTGGATATATCATGCAATGGGGTCAGCGTGTGGCCTTCTGTGTCCGGCTTCTTTCACGCAGTGCAACGTTTTTAGGGTCCCTCCACGTGGCAGCATGTGCCAAGGCTTCCTTCCTTTTCACAGCTGAATAATATTTCATCATATGAAGATGCCACGTTCTGTTTACTGGTCCCTCAGTTGATGGACATTTAGTTTGTTTACATTTTTTGGCTACTGTGAATTATGGGCATTTGTGTGCAGGTTTCTGTTAGAACAAATGCTTTCACTTCTGTTAGGTGTGTACCTAGGAGTGGAGTTACTGGATCATATAGTGATTCTGTGTTTAACTTTTTGAGGAAACACCACACTTTTCCACAGCAGGTGCACCATTTTACATTTTCACCAGCAATGCACCAGAAACAGTTCCAATTTCTCCATAGCCCCACTGACACTTATGTTCCATTTTAAAAAAATGATAGCTGGCCCAGTGCGGTGGTTCACGCCTGTAATTCCAGCACTTTGGGAGGCTGAGGCAAGCGGATCACCTGAGGTCAGGAGTTTGAGACCTGCCTGACCAATATGGTGAAACCCCATGTCTACCAAAAATACAAAAATTAGCCGGGCGTGGTGGCACGCGCCTATACTCCCAGCTACTCGGGAGGCCAAGGCAGGAGACTCTCTTGAACCCAGGAGGTGGAGGTTGCACTAAGCTGAGATTGAGCCATTGCACTCCAGCCTTGGCAACAGAGCAAGACTGTCTAAAAATAAAAAAGACATAGCCATCCTAGTGGTATGAAATGGTATTGAATTTTGGATTTTTGTTTGCTTGCATTTCCCTAATGATTTACAGTGCTGAGAATTTTTTCATGTGTTGACCATTGTGTATATTCTTTGGAGAAATGTCTCCTCAAGTCCTTTGAACATTTTTTAAATTGTACACATTTATGGGGTACATGTGTAATTTTGTTACATGCATAGATTGCATAGTGATCAAGTCAAAGTTTTTAGGGTAGCCATTACCCAAGTAATGTACACTGTACCCCTTAACAAAAATCTCATCAGCCAGGCCCCTGTCACCCCCTCATCCTCCCAGGTCTCTGTCGTCCATCGTTCCACTCCCTACATCCATGTGTATAGAATTTCAGCACCTACGTGTGAGTGAGAACACGTGACATTTGACTTTCTGTGCCTGGCTTGTTTCACTGAGGATGGCGGCCTCCAGCTCCATCCATGTCGCTGCAAAAGGCATGATTTCATTCTTTGTGAATGGCTGAGTAATACTCAATTGTGTATATATACCACACTTTCTTTTTACTGATCCACTGATGGACACCTAGGTTTATTCCATCTCTCTTTGCTATTGTGAATAGTGTTGCAATAAACATATGAG